GAATCCACAGAAAAACATGACACAAATTATTTAAATTAATCCTTAAATAATATAATATATATATATATGTAAGTGAAAATTCAAAGTCCTTAAATAAACGATAATAAATAAGGAAACATTGGTTCTATGTATTCGTATTAAGTATCAAACTTTTTTAGAAAAAAAAATTGTTTCGTAATATTATTAAATTATAAATAATATTTACCATTCTAGAACAGAAAAAACAATTTTTAAATATAATTTCTTAGTAAATACTCTAATGGCTATTTTTATTATTTTTTTAATTGAATTATTTTCATTATAATTAGTCTCAATAAAGATTGACACTCCCTTCTCAGAATTTTTATGGTATTTTCAGAGAAGCGAATATCCCTGAGAATTTTTAGAAAATTATAAGAACGGGATCATTCACGGAAATTGAGAATGCAAACAAGTTAAACGTTTATTTTTATAAGTAATTTTTCTTTTTATAATATTATACACTTAATTTGATTTTAATTAGAGTTTTCAATGAAATATATTTTAAAATATTTTTTATTGTAATTGAACTACGATAGGTATTTATTCCGAAATAAATATAAGTTATTAAACTAGGTTAAATAAATCCGAATTATTCCAATATTATTGTTAACCCAAATTGGTCTCTTAGATATTAACTGCAATAATTTGTCATTTTATAACCACAAAGTAATGCCATTCTGTGGTATAACCGCTATCTTCACTAGGATAAGCATTACGTAGATATTATAGTTTACCAGTTATTAATAATTAACTACAAATGTTTCTCTTGTTTTAGTAAATATTTTACACAAACTTCTTGAACTTACTAATTTACATGCATAATAATTTCTTCATTTTTAGTCATATATTGTAATTAATCTATTATTTTCATTATTATATACATATTTAAAGATTAAACTAAATAATAAATTTCAACTATTTTTTTTTACTTTTACCGTATTTAAAAATCATTTATAAAAGTTTAAATAACGATTTAAAACAAACTCTATATATTATAATTTAGAATGGTTAATAAATCTACAAAAGTAGCATATTATAATACTAAGAAGCATGATGTATCTATAGACGATAGTTTTATGGACAACAGTGGTAAGTTGCAGATTTAATGTGGTCATCCGTTTTAGACATTTGATTTTATATATCAGATATATTATAAATTAATTAAAGCTGATGTTGCACAGCATTTCACGTGACAGATTAAATTCCAGTAAATTAATGTATTAATTTTGAACATTACGACACCAAAAGTGTACTCTGTTATAGTGAATATAAATGTTTTGCAATGATCTGGTTTACTTTATGATATCACGAACTATAATATTTGTGAGACGCATTTTATTTATTAAAATTTACTAAGATGAAATTTATCATTGATGTTTAAATTATAAGTATGTAATAATTTACAATAATATCAAAAATATATTTATTATTATTGGTATCAGATATTATTTTAGTTTCATTAAAAAACTATTGAATACAAATACTTAAATTACTCAGACAGCCGTCCAAGACTCTAAATTATTATTATTATTATTGAGCTACTTAAACGTATAATGAAAAAAAAAACTCGTGGACACAAATAACTTTTATTTTATTTAACCCTTGTTTGTTTTTATGTATTATTTATTTTTTTTATGCAAGCAAAATATTAAGTATTGACATTAGTATTTTGTGTTTACATTATGTATAAATACTGTGTAACTACTGTATATTATACATTATCCAGCGTTTTGGTTTATACCTCATATATATATATATATATAGATTATATATACCACTCGATCACTTTTTTTTTTAAATCATGATACCTATCAACTGTCAAAATTAATTTTTGCAATAGTTATAGTTACTATAACAAAAAAAAAAAAAAAAATCGATAATTTTTTAATATTTTATTGTTATATTCCAACTCATTTAACAGAAAAAAATGCTGAGATAAAAACTACTTTTTATTTATTATCCTCCATGCAAGTATGCATCATAGTATGTGCGATCTCTGTATATTGTTCTAGATAAATAATAATAATAATAACTATTATCGACTGTTACTATAGTATAGTTATGAAGGTGTAGTTTTGTATGTTCAATTATTCGAATATCATAAACCATTCAAGTGTAGAGCGTATTACAGATTATTTTGAAATTGAATCAATAGTGTTAAATAAAAAAAAATATTTTTAAACGCCTAATATTATATTTAAAAATTTTGCGTAAATTATAATATATTATATTCGAAAAAAATCGTTTATTTGATTATATGTATATTTGGTAATGTATTGAGTAAATGAGGTTACCAAAGCTATATAGTAAGATATTTACAAAAACAAAATCGGAATATTAAATTTGATAAATTATCGCATAAGACATTTACAGCTGAGAAACTAAATTCAACCACCACCAATAGTGATTTTCATCGTTATTAGTTTATCGGCTGCGTGTAACTTTATAAAACTTACACACCATATTGTTTTCAATTACACGGGTTAATTTAAATTCAGAGGAGACACATTGCACATTTTATAATTATATATTTTATAAATATATTTTGCGAATGTGGTGAACATAATAAAGTATATAGTCGAGTCTACTCTAGGTATAAAACATTTTCTAGTGTTTAACTTCGAGTAGTTTGGTCTTCGTGAAAGTCATAAAAACCGAGAACCAGCCGAGTTAGAAATAATAAACAATAAAATACAATTTTTTTTATTTTATACGGACAGACAAACTGAATAACGTGCACTCTTCTACAACTACTACCATATTATACTGCTTGTGTTGTTACTAGATATCTATTAATACCATTACACTATATAGGCATATCAGTGTCATAAACTCAAATCCTTTTTCATTATGTCGCAATGAACAGTATATCGTCATATCAAACAGAGGTTATTTCATAATATGATGATATTAGTGTGACACAAGGTATTAATTTAATAAAATATTTTTCGTTATCACAAAATTAAATTCTTAAAACTTCCTTGGGCACCTATTTAATATTGGATGTAAAATCAATAAAACTTTTAGATCTGTGCTGAATGTTGTTATTATATTATTATTCATTGTATTGATGAATTTTAGTAAACTCTGTGTTGAAAGACCAAAGATGTATTAATCTTTACAATGATATTAAGAATATAGTTGTTTTTTTTGTAAAGCAGTAATTAAAAATAAAATTGCGTCGTCATGAATCATTTTTATAAAGTACGTAAAACGTCTACAAATGTGTGACCTCAGATTAATTATATTTTAAACATTCTGCGTTCATGCAGTAGTCATAACAAATTAAAATTGACCTCTTAGTTTAATTCGCATACCTTAAAGAACAAAATAATTTTATTATATCGTATATAAAATCATGAAAACAAACAATAATTAAAATAAACGAGTTGTACAACCAAAGCTAATAATTAATTGAAATATTGATTTTAACCAACGAATAATCATTTTCGAAAAACCATATAATATACCTTAGTCGTATTTAGACGACTTGTTTTTACAACTCAGAAACATACTCATATTATGGTTTCACTAAACAAATTTTCGTATAAATATTTAATTTTTTTTTCATTGATTTAAATATGTAGGTAAGTACGACCATTTGTATATCATTGCAGATTTTCATTAGGTTTTCATTTATACTAAAATTAAGTATATCAGATATTTTCTTTAAGATGATTAAAATATATAACTAAATTTGTTTGGGGTACTTCTTCATTGAAGCTTTTACAGAATTGTGTGTGATTCTCACAGTTGCCATTTTCCTTCCATAATATATTATGTAATTTTCAGTTACCTTAGTTATTTCAGATTTGAAGCTTAGGATCGCCGCAAAATAAATTAGTTTGATTGAATCTTTGTCAAATCTTTAATGAATATTCCTATTAATTATTTTTTAAAGTGGTAATTTATGAAAACTATCCTACCCCCCTCCCAAAAAAAAATATTAATCAGAAAAATTTAAAACAAACCAATATTATCGTAAAATCAACATATATCTCACTATGATCCTAAATCGTGTACATTTTATTATTAGTCATAATACGTTTTAATCAACATTGTTTATATTGTATATAATATATACGAGGTCGATGCTATACGAGCTTTGCAACTGTTCAATTTTATATAAACTGAAATAATTAAATATATATATTTAACATAGAATTAAAGTAATCAAATTATTTTCCATTACTCAACATACCAACTTTGTGTATTTTCTAATCAGTTTTCCATCAGTAAAAATGTATTTACGTACATTCGTTGTACATTTGTGCACTATAATAATTATAGTCCTTACTTCTTAGTTAAATAATTATTATGAGAAAAAAATTTTAAAATTGAATATATTTGTTTTCTCTGCAGTATAATATGTATTGATAAAACTGAAAAAATAAGCATATTTAGGTATAGAAATACAAATTAATTAAGCCTATATAAGTATATAGGTATTCCGATTAAATGAATTATATTTCTTAAAAAACACAGTAAAATTATTATTTCGTATAATGATATAAGCATGAATACCTAATAATATATAGTGATTTTTAACTAGAAATGTTCGTCAAAGCCAAATAGTTATAGTCTGTAATTAATAACATAGTCAAATAAATTATAATAACACATAAACATACTTTATAATCTCGTAGATTTCGGGCATTAAAACAGGTCATTATAAAGCCTATAATATTGTGTTTATAGGGTAGCTTAGTGGAAAGAAGAAATCACATCGACATACTCGGAATCTTTTAGCAAAATTAAACTACTGCAACATCAAATACCTATAGTATTATGTAAAACAAAATAATAATAAAAAATAATAACAACAAATAATATTATGAACATGATTATTTCAAACGAAGGTTTGCAGTCGTGTCGTTCGGTGGCGTGCGTTGGTGTTGTTGGGCAGTGTGGCGTTCGGGTCATCCAGATGGCGGGCACAAACGTCGAGCGCCGCGGCAAATCGGCCGACTAACTCGGACGTTGTTGACGGTAGTTCGTCTCCGAACACGTGCGCGGATGGTCTTCCTCCCCGATGGGTCAGCTCGTTGTACACGCACACCGCCGTATTTAATTTTCACTGACGCAAATTAATTTTCCCGCGACCATGCATAGCGGTTTTCCGGCGGTTGCCACCGTCACTTTATCCGTTTTGGCTGTAATTCAGCTGATGGCCGTCGTAGGTGAGTGCTACACACATTTGGTTTTTATTTTTTTTACATATTTGAGATTTTTTCTTTCACGCGATAGTAGTTATTGGAAGTCGTCCAGAAATTACGTCGTCGACGGATAGCGAAGAAAGGAAGGGATAAACTATGTTTTTTTGTCCGGTTCAAATACTGCAAAAAATAAATCTGATTTTCTACATCGTCAAAAGTATTTTTTTGTCTTTAGAAGTATGCGAAAAAAAACCTATTTGAATTCATTTCGTTGAAAATATAAAAGTCCACTTTTACACGTGAAATACGGAAATTTAATTTAAAATGTATACTTTTCAACAACAAAAAACCATGCCTCTTGGTATTTATACAAATATTCTGAACCATTCTTTCTAGATCTTTGAAAAATTACTATAACTATACTGAAATAAATTTTTATTTATTATACAACATAAATCATGATGAATAAATGAATAAATAATAGTAATTGTAATCCTTCATCTATTTTAAAATGTTTTTCGTATTAAAATAATGTCCATATCATAAATTAGTTATCTACTAAAAAACGTGATATCGTTATTGCAGTTATAATAATTTAGCAGTAAACCGTAATTTTTAAAGTCCACGAATACCCGGAAAGTATTTAAAGTATTTATTTTTTATAATATGAATAAAGTTTACTTTTCTTAGATGTAATTATTTAATACTAATCAGATTATAAGCCAATAGGCTGATTACTAGTATATAGACCAAAGTATTAATTAAATTGCAGTGTTTTTAATTAGGTAGTTTAAAATAATTTTAATCACCACAAATTACCTGTTGTCTCCGTTATTCGTCGTGGCTTCAAAAGTAATATGGAATATATGGAATTTATAAAGATTGTCGGTTTGATGAAAAAAGTATAAAAAAAAAAAAATAATTTAAACCTAACAATGTACCTATATTTGCTGTAATTACTCAATTTAGATACTGTTTTAGTTGTTTTGAATTATTTTAATTGATAGTTTAACAATAAAATTACAAATAAAATAAAGTTTTTAATTATTATTATAATTTCAATTAAATAGCATATTTTTTACGTTTAATTAATACTCATTATTAACGTATATTACGTGTTTATGTATACCTACATCAATTAACATTTTCAAGAATTGTGGAAAACTAGTTTTTTTTCATTTCAAATGAAATATATAAATTAAATTATGAATATTTATAAATTTAATAATGTTATACTACTTTAATACTATACAGGAATATTATATTTATTTCTCAATAACAGTGATCATATAATGTTTTATGATTTTCACTTCATATACTAGTTTGTAACATCTATTTTATTTTTATTCGATTAAATGTTAGATAAACATGTTACAAATTGAATAGAAAGTATTTAAAGTTTTTTCTTTTATTTAAGTACAATATATTTAGTACTTCTAGTTTAATTGTGGGCAGTGTGGATATAACTATTAGTATGAAATATTTATTATTAGTTAAAATAAAACAAAATATAACATTATAGTAATAAGTCAATTTCGTAGAAATTCTATTATTACTATACTTATTAATTTTTTAAGCTAAAATGTAATTGAATATAATTTAAGATAATAATTTTAACAGCTTTGTTTTAAAAAAATATTGTTGAAACAAGAAACTTATAGTTTATATTTAATTTTAAGATCTATACAAAACCCAAATCCATTACTACGTTATATTATTAGAAACCAAATAACTAAAATACTAATAGAAATACTCATTATTGAAATAGATTTTTAAATAACTTTTCGGTGCTTTATTAAAGTAAATATCTACACAATCTGCAGGTGGTCCTGAATTCATCGGCAGATATAAATACGAATATATTTTTGTTTATTATAATACTTTATAATATATTTCAGTATGTTTATTGTGATAGTCAGCCTCGTGACCGCATGTTGAATTGATGTTTGTTAGAGGTTTGGTAGTTTACACTTTACATTAGGTTTACCTCACCGATTTAAACTTAATTCAGTTTTATTGCTGCTTTCCGAAGTCTATTTATAAACACTTAATATAGTATATGTGTACTGGTTTAGAAAATTATTGAATATACCAGTTACATTATATTTTAATTTAGTACATTTTTTTTTCGAAATAAGATCGACAGTAATACGAGTATACTTAGTAACTTAATAAGTAATAAAAATGTAGTTTTACATCTTAATACTGTTTTTAATCATTTTAATACAATGGTGACATTTTTAAATTTATATTAACTCCGTCAATTTCTGGTGTACCGTTTTTATTTTCATTATTCGGATAATTCAAAGTATTCCGCCATCTTTATTATAAAACAACAAATACCTAATAAAGTATAGGAAATAAAATTAATAAATGTTTACTGTCATAAAAAATGTTTGAAGATTGGTTTTTATAAATGCCAAACGCTAAAATAATTTGGTTACTAAATTTAATGAAAATAACAAAATTCATTTATTAAAATAATATTTGTTTAAATGAAAATATGATAAAACATTTTTCGATTATTTGATGTTAAAAAAGAGAATAAGAATTTGAATTTACTCATCGAAAAAAAATATATTAAAATAATGACTTTGTTAAATTTATTCATCATATGAATTTCGTTGACTATCATTAAATGTATTTTAAATTAATCTATACTCTATAGGTATAACAAATAACGTAATTTCATCTGAAACTCTTGTTTAAAATATGTTTTTCACATTTAATTGTTTATTTTTAAATAAATGTACGCTTATCATTACGTATTTTGGCATTATTATCTGTAACATGCGTTGTTGAAATAAATTTAACAGTTATCAGGTTTATATAATCAATTAATTAGACTAAAAATAGTCGTAGAAATAGAACATGGGTGTATGTGCGTATATTTTGAATATTAATGGTCAGAGTGGTGATTTTGACGTAATCAGCGTAAATAATGAATAGAGCGTTTCAAAATGCTAATACATCGATTATAATTACAATTAACAATTACTGTGTGCTATCTATCACGGTATTTTCAATTGAACATTTATAACAATAATATCGTTTTATTTACACCCAATAGTTGTGTGTACGTTACAACCCCGATGGAGTATGCACATAGAACGACGAAATAATCAGCTGTTAACTCTGCGGCAATATGTTTACGAAAGCGCATATCAATAACACATTTCGACGATTTCCAAAATAACGCACATACGTGCAACCGATCTCTACCCCCCCCCCCCCCGTTATCATACCATACTATTTGTTTTTACACACGATTTGACGATAATATTATTTGTGGCACACGATTGTCCGTGTAAGACGGCAATGTATCAAAATTCAAATAATAGATTTATTTTTCACGTGATTACTAAGGTTAAAAATAACGCTGTATGATTACCAACTTAGAGTAATTTTGGCTTCTGTCGGAAAACGAATTAAAAAGCGATAAGTCATCACTGGGTGGTGTTTATAATTTTAACAAATATAAGAGATCGTGGGTATGTAAATATTTTCAGTTAATGTCTAATCAAATCTAATCATGTTTTCTGTATGTCAATTATAACGCGAATAATTATTGAAATAAATACACTCAAATTCCCGAATCCGTAAAACAGAGTGTTTAGAATTTTTCACGTTTACCATCAATATTTTTCAATATTATCAGTTAATATACTATTTTTTGCTATATATTTTTAAAAACTATGTATAATAACTCCCTAGTAAATAATAAATATAAATAAATACTTGAAAAAATATATTGTTTGTACACGATTTGGAATAATTTAGAACTAACTTTGAAGGTTTTCATAATTTCAAATTACTACTTATTATGTTTTATATGTTCAATAAAAAGAAAAACAAGATAATAATAATAATAACTCAACTATATTTATATATTTTTTTTATTCTTATTAAAAATAATATAAAGACGCCAACACTTAAATAATATATTATACAAAAACATAATCAATCTGCAATAATATTTTTATGTTAAATTATTTAATCTCATCTGTCATTTAAAAGAAAGTTTACTTTTAAAATATTCTTCAAGTAACAGAATTTTTAGCACGCTTATAGCATTCAGACCGTGTTTATGCTTAACTTATACGTATTTCCTTTCTAAGTGGTTTATCTGATCAGTCAACCTGTATGAATAAAATATACATAATAATATTATTGTTTTAAATTAAGCACTTACTATGGTCAAAAGTGAAATTCTGATATAAAGAAAAGCTAGGTGAGCTATACAAACTATATTTAATTATAATTATAAATAATACTAAGCTACAGCGAAGGTGTATCGGGCAGTCAGTACCCAGCTTGCCCGTGTCTGATAATCCAATACCAAGTATTGCTCGATCGGATGTCAACTGATCATTCAAATAATAATACAATTATTATTAAAGTTTCATCTATATATTTACGTAAAATCGATCATAAATCATTAATTTTTAATTTAAACCTTTAATAGTGTAAATTATTTCTCTTCACACGTCATCTTTTCTCAGAAATACTATGAAAAAAAATTAAATAATAACCAATTCATGAGCATTCAAAAACACACTATAAAATATTTAATATTCACCTATCGAATCATATGAATCCAGTCATGAGCGATCTGTTTACTAAATCTTGGAAATTCTTTATTTAAACGAATTAATTATAATCGTGTAAAGACATTCTACTTAATTGAAACTTATTGGTCCTATCAAGTCTCAAAGTAAAATCATACATAACCGATGAATGATTTTTTTAATCATTTAATACCACGCTTATTATAATATACAACTAGTTCTTATTAAAAAACTAAAAATAAGAATTGACTAAAGTCTTTATAAATAAAAATAGATTTACATATCTACACAATTACAGAGTACAGACAATAGGTTTTTTTATTAGAACGATAAAATTCTCTCACAAATACTATACTATTCATTTATCTTAATGAAATCATATATATACTAATTTGATTCCGCTTTTTTTATCGACTGTCTAAATTTAGGCAGTTAAAACAGTGACGCAGCTGACTT